AAATTTGTAGATCCAATAGATCATGATGAACTCGTCCCTTATGTGCAAAAGTTTTCAAAATCGAATTAAAAACGAAGAAGATACCATACAATACCAGGGTGGTATTGTATGGTATTGTGTGGTATTTTTTGGTCCTGTAATTTGTTCACCCAGAAATTTGTAGATCTGATAGATCATGATGAACTCGTCCCTTCTGTGCAGGACCCCATTCGAGCACCAACCCCCCTGTTGGAACGCAAGCACGAGCAAGATAGGCCTGAATGGGTTGGGAGAGTTGGCGATGAATCGAACGAATCGGTTGACGTGGAATCATTGGGTCAGGCCCCAAGAAACTTTAGGATGCTTCAATTGCAACTGGCGATTCCAGAAGAAGATTTGCCCAAATCAAATTCGGATCTCCCAGGTTCTGCAAGTTTGAACAGCGGCATTGGCAGGAAACAGGAGGACGACGATTCGGCACCGACGAGGGTGAAGCGCACGCGGGAACGGGTTGAAAATGCCGATTGGATGGGGAATGTTACTCTACATTCTTAAAACTCACATTTCGACTTAAATTCTTGACTGACACGGGCATCCCCAACTAGCTAGTCCAGTTGCCCAACTCATTCGTATTAATGCCCATCTAGGCTTCCATAAACTTAAACTTAGTTCGGGGAGTCGTGACGATAATCCCCACTAACATCTTAAACTTATCGTAGTGGCTCTTCACCATGATTCTCAAGAGCATAACTGCTACTCATCTTAAAAATTCTCAAAAGCATAACTGCTGCTCATCTCAAAATCTCATATGGGCAACTGACTAGCGCCAGCGACGAAAAACTCTTAAAACTTTTCACCTTCCTTGAAGGTGAATTACTCCTTGAAACCAACTTACTTCTTAATGTAAACATACATAAGCAAATATGACACATAGTAGCAAATCTCAAATTTAAATACCGTAAGGTAAATACTTTAAACTATTTAATGCGTAGATTTTACCCCTTTACACTCTATTTCCTTAATCAAAATGACAGAGACAGACCTCCAACACTATTCGTTTTTCCTTTGGCGAGATGACCAATCCCCTTACTGAATCTCTAAAAAATTCCCGTAAGATCGTCGAGTTGGATTTCGATACTTGATATATGATGACCAATATATTATATACGTACTAAAATCGTCCCCTCAATATTAACCATCCCTCCGGTTAAAACTTGAAGAACTCGTACTACATCCATCATTAGCCATTTAGTTCTCCTTTACATATACGCAAAAATCCACAATTAATTCATCGCCCTACTTCAATTAACTACAAAGATTACGCACTCATCCTCGTATGCAACCTAGATTTAATTGCTTCACGAACTACCTTTATTATTACTAACTATACATATATATATGGTTCAGGCTAGCATACACCAGGTGTATATAGTACGCCTGTGTTCACACCTATAAATTAATTATTAATTATTTTCATTTAATTATAATCAATTTAATTATTGATAATAAATATAATTACAATCATAATCACACGTTAATTGTTGTATACATTTTAGTCCCATATCATTTTTTTGTCGTACATTAAACTCAAATCAATCCTTTAACTATTAATTATATAAATCATAATACTCTTTTCTCCAAATCTTAATTTTACAACACCCGAACTTTAAAATTATCTGCAACTTTCATTCCTCCCTAGTCCCTACAACAAAAATTGACCACGCCGTTTTGTCATCATTCAATCTCTATTCATCTTTTCTCCAGAAAAAAGAAGTATTCATTCATCTCTATCTCCTTGGTCTAATCATCTTCTTCATCAGATGTGAGAGGGTGGTTTTTACTTGTAAATCCTTTGTTCCTTTAACTACCATTCTCCCTTGATTCAGATCGGCCCGCCATAGCTTTAGATCCCCATTCGCCAATAGCCGAATCCCCTTTGCCAAAAATCGAGCATCATAGGTCAACCAGGAGCTGGGATCCCCGCCTTGAGCAATCGATTTCGTTGAAATAGGTACAAGGAATCCCCAATCCGTATGTCTCTTCAGTTCTTCGACGCGAGCTGTACTGGCTGGCCCTCGTCTTAAAGACCTCATTCATCCAAACAGGTATCGTTTGCCGATTTCGTTCCAGCTGCTGTCAGTCTCGAAGGGATTTCGCGATCCTAACCGTCTCTGGTGCTGTATATGAAACGCCCCTCAGGTAAAATCCCTAACCTTTCTTTTGATTCCCCTGATTTTCTCTTTCCGCTGTACAATGCGTCCATGCCATCTGCAGCTCTCGATTGATCGGTTAAGTAGGATAAATTGCATTTCTCCTGTCTTTCCCTGATCTCCCCAAACCCGATCGGCCTAAACCTTTAAGAAGAATTCGAACTCACTTCTCTAGGTCCCTAAACCCTCTTCTTAGTTTTGCCTGCTTGTAGCATTAGACTACTGCAACATCGCCTTCCCCTCCTGCCCAGGCCACGAGCATGCTCTTTGAGCCGTTTCCTGGAGGCTTCTTCTCCTAAACACTTTGTCCCTCAAGACTTTTCTCGTGCCAGGATAAGTTTCTTCAACAACTCTTCCCGTGCTTCCGGTACCCTTGTTTGGTTACACTACGTAGTTGCCTTAGAAGTTCTTTTGCTGCTGTTGCTCCGACCAGTTTCTGTATTTGTATCCATCCTTATATGACAGCTTTGGCGAGATATTTTTGTTTCATTTAAGTTATTTCAGATTCACCATTCATACATTTCATTCTGTCTTTGCAGGGGTTGAGGAGAGGCATATTGGGATCATCGTCTATGTTTTATAATATGTAGTGTTTGCGGTTTGCCTATTACCATTGATGTGGGTACAACCAACGAGAAATTGATGATGATGATGAAGGAGGCCTACTAGCCAGGTACCATCCTCTCCCTTGAATAGAATTCAGGTCCAGAGTTTTGTGGCAATTCAATTAGCAAATGCCTCATTACTTGTCCGACCTTCTGCCGCCTATTGTTCTCTCAACAGTTTCAGGAGAAGAAACTGATGAACTCCAGAAGTACATGGTTATGATGGAACTCGAGGTAGCTTTCTATCTTGTTATTCTATTCCCTTTAGATGAGTCGAATTGAAGTAGCTTTGACTGATTGCCTCGTTTTTTCATCAACAAGAGAGGAACAAAAGATTGTTCTATGAGTTTCTCGTTGACGATGTGGAGGAGTTGTAGCCACCTGTCTACGCTCCACAGCTGGGGAAGCTTCCTAGAAATACGACAACATTATAAGGAGCGCTCAGGGTTTATACATCAACTTGAAAGATAAGTATAGACATTATGATTCATTTCTGTGAATAAGTGATCCGGTTTTGTGCTAGTTGAATGTTTCAGTTCCTTACAAAATATGATTGGTTGGCTGTACAGGAGGAGAGTTCTTGATGTGCTGAAGAACTGGCCTGGGAGGAGCATACAAGTCATTATTGAAAAATGTAACTCAAAAAAAAAAAAAAAAAAAAAAGATTTAGTGCCTCACTCCAGTGAAGCAAAAGCATGGATGAGGCAACTCTAATCATGGTGAACACATTTATTTGGTTGGCAATTGATTTACAGCATACCAAACAGAAGCAAAGCAACAGGATGTGGCCCTCTAGTGAACCAAGACGTCACAAAAAGCAAGCAGAAAAGATATTCATAACTACTAGATGCAGACAAAATCAACCATACAACAAAGGAATTCGCCTAAAGGATCATATAAGCCCCGTTTTATATTAGCCAACTGTATCATATCAGCCACCTGTAAATGTTTCATATCACCAACAGTTTCAGATTAGCCAGGATTTCGTCTTCTCCTCTCAATGCATCATATCAACACTGGAGTGACAGTTCCATGACTAAGAATCATGCTAGATATATGTATGTATCACCCCATTTGAGATTCAAATCACATAGTATGATAGCTGTACTACCTCCAAAAGGTATTGCATCCATGGAATAATATCCAGCACCTGTAAATCCACAATCAAGAGAATAGAAGTCATCAAGGTTTGCTCTGTATCGAAACAATTGAAGGAAATTAGAAACATATCTTGTTTCACAAAATGCTGCACTTCTTGTTTCTATCCCTAATGTGGTTCTTCCTGACCAAGCTCGGACTCTAGACCACTCTACCTCTGTTGATGGCACTAACTTTATCACACTAACTAGGAAAAGGGTTCATCCCAAGACTTACTATCTTGATTTATTGTAACTACCCAAAAGCACATACATCGAGCAGCAATCACATCAACCTAGCAAGCTGGCCAAACATGTATAAACAGAACCAAATGCTCTCTGTCCAAAACTGTAGTAAAATGACTTGTCGCTTCCTGGATAACCCTGCATTCTGGTGAAGTAATGATTATGAAGAAACCACAGGCAAAGAGCTTTATAAAAGACCTAACAGCCATAGGTGAAGATAGTTGGGAATAGTAATACACCAGCACATTTCGGTCACGACACTTTGATTCACACCTTCCAAGGACCAGAAGGTTCATCAAAAAACATCAGAAATAAAATTGTGCCTACCTTTTCCATCGTGCACAGATCGGTTGGCTCAAAACCTTTGCTTTTCTCAAGCCACTGCACTTAAATAAATAAATAAGATGGTGGGAGAGCAGAGCCAGACCCAGACTGTCGCTTGCATTCTTGAGCGAATGCTTTGTAATCAAACCCAGATGGAGGGAACATGATGTGTTATGTTCGAGTCATCGGCATTACCATCTCCGTGCAAGCCTGGATAGTAGAAAAAAGAATCAATCCCATGAATGAAGATGAAGAAAAGCTTCAAACTTCCATATTTTTTCTCCTCTCACCTGCCAATCCCAGCCATGCAGGCCATGAGAATCAGGAGCATGTTCCAACTCGAAGCACTTGTGGGATTAAGAGTAGTTTTAATACAAGCTGGCTGCTCCAAACACTCTCGCGAGCTTTGAGGTTCCGGCTGGGAATCTTGCACGTCTTTTGATCACATAAAGGACCAAAGTAAGTTGGAAAGACCCTCTGAACAGCTGAAGATTTTCACATCAAATCAGATAATAAAGTCTGCTAACTTCCTCAACAGGGTACGCAGGGAGTGGAATCATGAAATTTGCCTCGGTTGGGTATTTCACCATTGCTGTGTATACATATGCTGACCATAGCCAGTCCAAAACTGAATCTACTGACTGCACATTTCTGCAGAACCAAAAAAGACAACGAATTTAATCATTGCAAGTGATAACCTAACACATCGCTCACAAATGCTAGCTCAAGTTTCTTTTGATTTTCGGTATGCAACTGCTTTCAGCCTTTCACATAAACGAGGCAATAGGCAATAGTGCTAACTACTCACTTGCAAGCTCTGATGGTTCTGCTTATTTCAGCTAATCCTTGTTTCTTTGCTGAAAATGTCAAGCTCATCCCAGCTACTCTTAATCACTTTGTAAGTGTTCAGGCTTGCCTCCTATCATTCATGTTCACATTTTAGGCATAGCTTGAAACAAAGAAGACCCTAATAAAGAGCATAAAGATGGCTGAGAATGAAAGGTAAGACTAGAAACCTTAAAGTCTTGGGAAACAACATCATAGAAGCTGGACAAGGGATCTGGTCCTCCTTACTCAACCCTGTCGACGTCCTCCACGGGGACATCGGCTCCTCTCATCGTCCTCTAGAACAAGTCCGCCAACACCGTTGAGCTTCTCCGCCTGGCCGCATGAACTATGGACAAAGGGGCCTGCTTGGTGTCGGTAACTTCCATCGAATTGAGCTCCGATCCGCTGCGAGATGAAGATGAGCAAAGGAGTCGGAGAGTTTTGAGAGATGAAGTGCAGAGAAGAGATGTGTTGAGATAAGGGATCAGATTTTTCAATTCCCTCTTTGAGATTTTTCAATTCCCTCCTTGACTGAAGATTGAATACATGTCTGTCAAATAGACCTCGCCGCCTGGGGGAAGAAGAATAGAAGTTAAATGAAATTCTATAAGAAATTGAATTGGAAAAGATGGAGAATAGATTTCTAATTCTAAACACAAAATTTGGGTATTCAAATTTTGGGTATTCAAATTTGTGATTTAGAAAAAGAAGTTACGAAAATTTATATAATCGAGAGTTGTATGATTGATTTCAGCATAATGAATGATAAAATTTATGCGGTATTCAACCTTACAAGTCAATTATTTAATGAATGTGATTGTAATTTTAATTATTTTTAATAGTTAATATACTCATAATCAAATTAAAAATATTCAATAATTAATTTATTAGTGTGAACACAGGCATACACCGTACGTCAGGTGTACGCTAGCCTTTGCCATATATATATATATATATATATATATATATATATATATATATATACTCAAATAATGCATGCTAGTAAGATCCATTTCTCGTTTTAATCCACAAATATATACTTTACAAGGTAATTAATTAATAATCTTAACATAACTATTTACCCATCTCTTACATAACTACATATTAATTTAAAAGGTCATTTTTATCCCGTACATGCTAAATCCTAGGTAGGTACTACCAGTTTAGGCGAAGAAGTCAGGGAAGTAAAAGTTTTCCTACTTCTCCTAAAAATCCGGAGCGGTGAGAAGGCAATACCTCGCTCGAGCGGCTAGGGTTTCCCGACGTTATGCAGGCGGTGAATCCGCCGCTACACAGGGATGGTCCAGCACCTCTTGAACAGCTAGAGAGTGTGGCAAGTCAACGTAGGCCTCCTACGGAGTCCTCTCCTCACCAAACCCTAAAGGAGATCGGGAATCACAGCTATCCAAGAAACGTGCTAAGCAAACAGCAGCTACGACGGAAAATATCGTAGTCGAGGACGATGTCATTGATGATACTATGAGTGAAGAGCAGCGCACTCCGCTACCAGCGAGACAACGACAGTCTGTCTGGGGGTTCAAGTGCGGGTGCGGCGCGCCGGCTATTTGGAACTTCGATGAACACTGGGACGTGGTATATTGCAGACTCGGACCCGGAGGATGTTGCTGAAGCAATACGTCAGGAAGGGAGAGACACGGGCTATGAGGGTGAAGTTGATCCGAAGTGTCCACCGATAGACTTTACATCGGCAGAAGATCGCATGTTCTGTCGAGAATGGCGGTCGGCTCTTGTGGTCAAAGTTCTAGGTCGTTCCGTATCCTATACGCTTATCTTTAAGCGGCTAACTGGCCTATGGGCTAAAGTTGGGATGATACAAGTTACCTCAGCCAAGAGTGGGCATTTCCTTGTGCGGTTTACGAGTGGTATCGATTATGATAGTGCAGTGATGGGAGGACCTTGGATGGTGGGCGACAACTACCTTACTATTCACCCCTGGACTAGTGATTTCAACCCGTACAATCACGAGATTACATCTACGCTTGTATGGGCCGTTTGTTAGAGATGCCGATTCAGTACTTTCACCCGGTTGTAGTGATGAAGATCGGCAAACGCATTGGGAAGCCTATTTGGGTGGATCATGCGACAAGCACGGGAGTTAGGAGTGATTATGCATGAGTGTGTGTCAAAGTGGATATTACAAAGCCACTCCCGTCCCAGTTTACTATCCGTGGTATCAAGTATTTCATACAGTATGAAGGACTGCAGAAGATTTGTCTGAAATGTGGCTCTTATTTCTAGCGCGCTAGGTGTTCTTGTTCAGCACCACCAAAAAATGTGATCCCAGACCCCCCAAACCCCAGTGAACCGATGGCGAATAAGGAGCCTGAGAAAATTTACGGGGATGGATGATATCGAAGCGTAAGCCGAGACAAAGGAAGGAAAACCCAACTAGTCTGACGGAGAAAGGTGTTAGCAGGCAGAATTTGGCCCCAGAGAAAGGAGTTAGCCGGACCTAGCACCTAAAGATACGGGGAGTTTTGGAAGCGGTGATGTGTCTATAGGGGGGAAACCGATGGAGCTTTCAAACGAGTTTGTGGGGGATGGTCTTGGACCCAAGGCCCCCCAAAACCATGTGTAATTACTTTGTGTCATGCTATCACCTCCCATTTTTTAATGATGCTAAGCATATTCTCATGGAACTGTAGGGGGCGGGAAGCAAGCAATTTCTACGAGTCTTCATGGAATATCGTAGGAAGTATCGACCGTGTATTACTGTCATAGCTGAGCCGAGGATTAGCGGGGACAAAGCCGAGAAAGTGGTCCAAAGTCTTGGTTCTGATAAATATCTTTTTGTTGATGCGGCTGGCTATGCGGGGGGCATCTGGGTAGCGTGGGACTCGAACCTGATTACTATCGATGAAGCTGACCGCTCCAGTCAATTTCTCCATGTTAAAGCGGTGTCGGAGAGTAAAAGTTGGGTTTTAACAGCTGTGTCCGCCAATCCAGCTCTGATACAAAGAAGAGAATTATGGCAGGCAATTAGAGTGTTGGCGGAGGATTATGACAGGCGATTAGAGTGTTCGCGGAGGATATGGTGGAACCATGGTTACTAGTGGGATTTTAACTCCAGCCTCCAGCCTGTGGATAAATTGGGTGGTGCTCCTTTCAACGCGTCTAGAGCTCGTGAGTTTCAAGAACGTGTGCTGGATGCTGGCTTAGTGGATTTGGGCTTTATAGGGCCGCCATAGAATTGGTTTAGTGGGAGTATAAAGGAGAGGCTAGATAAAGGACTCGCCAACTCTACTTGGTCTGGAGTGTTTCCTGATACTGTTGTTCGACACATCCCGAAAGTGAAAAGCGATCACCGCCCCATTCTGATCACCTTAAATCCAAATTTCAGAGCCCCGGGGCCAAAGCCGTTCAAATTCCTAGTTGCCTGGCTTACACGCGAAGGTTTCAATGACATGGCGGCCGCTGCCTGGGCTCGAGGGGTCGATCTTTGCAGTGCTATTACTGAGTTCGCTAAAGAAGCACAGCGTTGGAATCTTTACACCTTTGCGAATATATTGAGAAAGAAGAACCTCCTACTTGCTCTCATCGAACGACTAGAAATGCGGGTTACGGGAGGGATGGAGCCTGTCGCATTGCAGCAAGCTAGGGAAGAGCTTGAAGTCATTCTATTACAAGAAGAGCTCATATGGGCTCAGAAGTCGAGATTAGAGTGGGTGATCTCGGGAGGGAGGACCGCTTGCTAACCTACCCGCAGTGTTCTGAGAAGTTCCTAGGGCCTTGTGGCTGCCTGTACAAAAACAATTTACTGAGGAGGAGGAGGTGTATCCAGCTATCAGGTCTATGAGGGCACTTAAAGCGCCGGGTAAAGATGGCCTCCAGCCTTTGTTCTACCAACAATGTTGGGACATAGTCTGTCAGGCATTTGTGGAGTTTGTGCAAGGTTGCTGGAGGGAACCGGAGTGACTCAAGGAAGTTAATGCCACTATTGTAGCTCTGATCCCGAAGATTCCACGACCGACAACTATCGAGCAGTACCGACCGATTAGTCTCTACAACGTGGCTTACAAGGCGATCATGAATGTTTAACTGAGAATATGAAGCCGCTTATGACCCAGCTGGTGCATGAGACCCAGACGAGTTTCGTCCACGGGCGGCAAATTACTGCCAATATTTGTATTTTGCAAGAAGTTGTTCATTCGATGAGAGCTAAGACGGGAAGATTAGGGTGGATGAATCTAAAAATTGACTTGGCCAAAGCATACGATCGTATCCAGTGGATCTTCGTTCGTGATACTCTGGTTGCTGCGAAAGTCCCCCAGGAATTCATCGAGCTAACAATGAGCTGCATCACTACCGCTAGCATGCAGATTCAAAGGAATGATGGGCTAACAGAGGAGTTTAGGCCATCGAGGGGTCTACGCCAAGGCTGCCCTCTTTCCCCGTACATCTTTACGTTGTGCATGGAGCGTCTTGGTAAACTGGTCGAGGCCACAGTAGCAAGAGAAGATTGGAAGCCAATCCGTTTATCGCAGAGGGGACCACTGCTGTCACACTTGTTCTTTGCTGATCTAATCTTTTTTGGTGTGTCCTCTATGGAGCAGGTTCAAGTGATCTCTCAATGCCTTCGAGAGTTTGGAGCTGCCTCTGGTCAACAAGTTAGCCGGCCGAAATCGCGAGTCTTCTTCTCCCAGAACGTTATAGCGTCGGATGCTGCGAGGTTAAGTGCAACTCTAGACATACCAGAAACAAAGAACTTCGGTCGTTATCTGGGGGTCCCCGTGATCCATGATCGCGTTACCAAGGTCACGTACACTGAACTCATTGATCGCATCGATGCTAGGCTTGCGGGGTGGCGAATTAAATCGCTATCTCTGGCTGATCAGATTACACTTGCACAATCCGTCTTATCGTCACTTCAAGCATACAAGATGCAGACAGCATTTATGCAGGCCTCGATTCGAGAATATGTTGACAAGAAGATAAGAGGCTTTATCTGGGGAAGCTCAGATCTGGGAAGGAAAATCCACTTGGTGGATTGGGATACTATGTGCAAGCCGAAGGAAGAGGGGGGCTTAGGAGTTTGCGATTCAATGGGAATGAATGAAGCTTTTATGATTAAGATTGCATGGATACTAGTCTTTAATGGTAGCTGGAATGAGGCCTTTGCTCTTGCGTTCCTCCCTGAGGATATGGTGCAACAACTCTTGCTACACCCAGTCCCGCAAGGCACCGAGCCGGATGTGCCTATTTGGAGGCTCTCCTCTTCGGGGCGGTTTACGATGAAGACCTCTTATTAATTAACGAGAAGGGAAGATGATCATCATGAGCACCCCATTTAGAAGATAGCATGGCAGGTTGAAGGGATCCAAAGAACACGAACGTTCTTTGAGTTAGCCATGCATCAGCGCCTCCTCACGAATGTCGAAAGATGCAGACGGCACCTCGCTTTGTCGGATGCGTGTCAAATCTGTGGAGGAGGTCCATAAACGATTCTTCATATTATCTGAGACTGCCCATACGCCAGGGCTGCCTGGTCAGAGTGACTTCTGGGCAAGCCTGATGGAGCATTTTTTTTAACCCGATTTGCAAAAGTGGGCTCTAAACTATTTGGCCGGTCATGGCAAGGTAATATCCCCACCATTGTTTGCTACTTTGTGCTGGCAATTATTGAAGAACAAGAATTGGTGGGTATTTGAGGAAGAGTTAATACCAGTAGCTCACATGGCTCAAAGGGTGCGCTACTTGATAGGTCAAGTTGATACCAACCTCACTAATATTGGGCAGGTTACAGTAGGGAGATCCGAGCGGGAGACTAGGATGATTGGCTGGCAAGCCCCGACCCAGGGGTGGGCTTGTTTAAACATGGATGGATCAGTGATGCTCAGTCAAGGAAGTGCAGCAGCGAGTGGAGTGCTCCGGAGTGATGAAGGCCGCTTTGTGAGATGTTTTATGGTGAACCTTGGTGGTGGCTCAATAACTCATGCGGAATTAGCTGGCATCGACTATGGCTTAAGACTGGCGTGTTCAGATAGACTCGGCTGCAACCATACGCTGGTAAACTCGATCAAGCGGCAGCTGAAGCAGCAATGGGAGGTTCATATCATGCATGTGTTCAGGGAAGGCAACTATGTTGCTGATTAAATAGCTTCGGTAGGACATTCTATTCCTGTGGGGATCCAGATTGTGGACATCACTAGCTCTATGCTAAATCACTCGCTGTACTTCGACCTGCTTGGGTTACAAACCCCCGTACTATTAATATCTAAGGGCTGAGCGCCTCTCTGCGCTCGCGTTTTTACCACAAAAAAAAACCTAGGTAGGTGATTTTAACGTGTACTATACCACTAGCCATATTTAATTTACATACACAAATTTAATAGCTACCATCACGTCACAATTATTCCTATTATACGAATCATATTGAAAAATAACTAACTCATTCATCTATTAATTTAGTCAAGCCATGCATGAAGAACTTTTCGTTAGCTCCTTCCCGTTACTATCATTAATTCAATAACTCCGATCGTCACTTAATTAAATATAACCAAGTGTTATGGGACAATCCAAGTACGACATCGTAAATACAAGGGAAGGAACCCTTGTGTATTAGTGTCCACCAAGCTTATTAGTACGAGGCCTCTTGGGGAGGCCACCCAACAGTAAAACCGTGCACGCTTGGCAAAAAGCGGACAATATCGTACTAATGGAGCAACCCCGGTTATGATAAGTGGTATTAGAGCCTGGTTCCGTGTCTGGGAAAATCGTTGTACCGAGAAGACCATTGATACAAGATGTTTGGCGGATCAAGATAATCGTTAAGGTGAGAACACGATGTTCGTGGTCCTTGGCTGGAGGGGAAGATTGTTAGACAATCCAAGTACCACATCGGAAGTACAAGGAAGGAACCCTTGCATATTTGTGTCTGCCACCCCAATTAGTAAGTGGCCTTTTGGAGTGGACACCCAAGAGTAAAACCGTGCGGTATTGGCCCAAACCGAACAATATCGTACTAATGGAGCAATCCCAGTTAGGAGAAGTGGTATCAGAGCCTGGTTTGGTACGGGGCAGTGGACGTCAGTTTGGTGGGCCCTCATTCGGTGACCTTAGGATTTGAGATTCACATCTGTTTGGTGGATCCAGGAGAGATCCACGTTCGGGCTTGGCGCATCAAAAGAGTTCCGCATTTTGGAAGCAGATCAAAGAGAGTGTTGCGTTTGCTAAAGTCCTTGTACCGAAACGCCCATCGATACAAAGCGTCTGGCGGATCAAGATAATCGCTAGGGTGAGGACAAGAAGTTCGTGATGCTTGGATTGAAAAGAGGATTTTTATGAGACAATCCAAGTACCACATCGGAAACAAAGGGAAAGGAACCCTTGTATATTAGTGTCCACCAAGCTCATTAGTACGAGGCCTTCTGGGGAGGACACCCCAGAGTAAAACTGTGCGGGCTTGGCCCTAAGCAGACAATATCGTACTAATAGAGCAATCCGGTTATGACACTAAGATATCCAAAACTCAAAAGAAATGAAAGTGGAGGTCTAGCTAGCTCGTTACCTTAACTTCGTGCCTAGAACATGATGGAGGTGGTTCAAACTATATTCGACATTGATCTCGTCGATTGATCACACAATCACTTGGCCAACGTAACTACAATTTAATTTCGTACGTGAACTGGTTACTAAAATGGACTCAAACTTTGAAGTCAAAATTTGGTAATTAGAATAATGAAATAAACACTAAACTTTGAAGCCATGGATATATATATATTTAATTTCTTTAGTATGTTGCTTGGAGAAAATTTTCCTTATGCTTTCAACTGTGAGTTTATGTTTTTGCTATATTGAAGTGCGATTGTTGGACATATATATACACACATAAGTCCGGCTTTATTCCAATTAAGAAGACTCTAAACTTGATATTTGTGTGAGAAACAGGAAAGGAATTAGCTTTCGTACGTAATCCCTTCTACTATAGTTTGTCCTAAGTGATGTTTCAGTTTAATTGCTTTGCTACACCCGGATAAAGGAACCCTATTCCATTTGTCTCTTTTGTTTTCAGAAAATACTTGTCAAAATAACATAAACACACGTATCCACTTTCATTTCTCTTGCATTATAAGGAAACTCATCTTTGTTACAGTGATAAATATGTTTGGACTTAATAGAAGTGTTGGCGTTAGGGCCCTTTACTATACTTCAACAAGAAATGATGGAGACAAGTTCTTACGCATGCCAGTGCTTTGTAAGATACACATGTTATTTTATTTTAGTACAACTATTTTTATTAAATCTAGTTGTGGTAAACGACATCATTTTATAGGAGGGACAACTTGTTCTTTTAGTTTTCGTTTTTAAACTGGAACGGTTCAAATTTTTTTATCCTTGATTCTCTTAAAAACTTAACCAATTTAATCATGTCTAAACAATTTTTTTTATCCTTGATACTCAGAATTATTTCTTACTCCACCTAACTAAATACTATTATTAGGGCAGGTGAGAAATATATGAATTCTTTCACATAGAAACTCTTGCAAGTATGTTAATTTGTTTGATTGTGAAACATCCCACTACTTTGAAACTTGGAAATGACATTTCTACCCCGGGGTTTATTTAAAAACATTTCAAATAACATAACCTTGATTAAAATTACCAAACTTAAATAACTTAATAATTCAAGACAAAGCCCTAAACACATGGGAAAAACTTAAATCATACTCTTAAAATAAACAAAAGAAACGAATCTCAAATTTTAAACTTATAACCATAAAGTATCAACAAATTAAAGTGTTCTCCAATGCTTACGATGATCCTTCACCTGTCATCCTTCAGCAAAGATTATGTTGAGCTCCTCAATCTTGCTGATCACGAACTGTCTGGGTCCGATCTCCGCCTCTATGATCTGGTGAGTGAGTTGGGGTCAGTCTACGCCCTTACGTTTAAATTCTCTAGTATATTATTCAAAACTAAATGAGAGTTAATGTTCCTCTACATTCTTAAAACTCAAATTTCGACTTAAATTCTTGACTGACACGGGCATCCCTAACTAGCTAGTCCGGTTGCCCAACTCATACGTATTAATGCCCATATAGGCTTCCATAAACTTAAACTTAGTTCGGGGAGTCGTGACGATAATCCCCCCTAACATCTTAAACTTATCGTAGTGGCTCTTCAGCACGATTCTCAACAGCATAACTGCTACTCATCTTAAAAATTCTCAAAAGCATAACTGCTGCTCATCACAAAATCTCATATGGGCAACTGATTGGCGCCAGCGACGAAAAACTCTTAAAACTTTTCACCTTCCTTGAAGGTGAAATACTCCTTAAAAGCAACTTACTTCTTAACTGTAACTTACTGGTAATTAAATACATGCAATCAAATATATAACTTAAAACATAATTTACACATAATATCATGCATCACGTAAACATACATAATCTCAAATTTAAATACCGTAAGATAAATACTTTAAACTATTTAATGCGTAGATTTTACCCCTTTACACTCACTTTATTTCCTTAATCAAAATGACTGAGACAGACCTCCAACACAATTCGATACTTGATATATGATGACCAATATATTTATATACGTACTAAAATCGTCCCCTCAATATTAACCATCCCTCTGGTTAAAACTTGAAGAACTCGTACTACATCCATCATTAGCCATTTAGTTCTCCTTTACATATACGCAAAAATCCACAATTAATTCATCGCCCTACTTCAATTAACTAAAAAGATTACGCACTCATCCTCGTATGCAATCTAGATTTAATTGCTTCACGAACTACCTTTATTATTACTAACTATAGATATATATATATATACTCAAATAATGCATGCTAGTAAGATCCATTTCTCGTTTTAATCCACAAATATATACAGTATGAAGGACTGTAGAAGATTTGTCTGAAATGTGGCTCTTATTTCGAGCGCGCTAGGTGTTCTTGTTCAGCACCAACAGAAAATGTGATCCCAGACCCTCCAAACCCCAGTGAACCGATGGCGAATAAGGAGCCTGAGAAAATTTACGGGGATGGATGATATCGAAGCGCAATTTGGCCCCAGAGAAAGGAGTTAGCCTGACCTAGCACCTAAAGATACGGGGAGTTTTGGAAGCGGTGATGTGTCTATAGGGGGGAAACCGATGGAGCTTTCACACGAGTTTGTGGGGGATGGTCTTGGACCCAAGGCCCCCCAAAACCATGTGTAATTACTCTGTGTCATGCTATCACCTCCCATTTTTTAATGATGCTAAGCATATTCTCATGGAACTGTAGGGGGCGGGAAGCAAGCAATTTCTACGAGTCTTCACGGAATATCGTAGGAAGTATCGACCGTGTATTACTGTCATAGTTGAGCCGAGGATTAGCGGGGACAAAGCCGAGAAAGTGGTCCAAAGTCTTGGTTCTGATAAATATCTTGTTGTTGATGCGGCTGGCTATGCGGGGGGGCATCTGGGTAGCATGGGACTCGAACCTGATTACTATCGATGAAGTTGACCGCTCCAGTCAATTTTTCCATGTTAAAGCGGTGTCGGAGAGTAAAAGTTGGGTTTTAACAGCTGTGTACGCCAATCCAGCTCTGATACAAAGAAGAGAATTATGGCAGGCAATTAGAGTGTCGGCGGAGGATATGGTGGAACCGTGGTTACTAGTGGGGGATTTTAACTCCATCCTCCAGCCTGTGGATAAATTGGGTGGTGCTCCTTTCAATGCGTCTGGAGCTCGTGAGTTTCAGGAACGTGTGCTGGATGCTGGCTTAGTGGATTTGGGCTTTATAGGGCCGCCATAGAATTGGTTTAGTGGGAGTATAAAGGAGAGGCTAGATAAAGGACTCGCCAACTCTACTTGGTCTGGAGTGTTCCCTGATACTGTTGTTCGACACATCCCGAAGGTGAAAAGCGATCACCGCCCCATTCTGATCACCTTAAATCCAAATTTTAGAGCCCCGGGGCCAAAGCCGTTCAAATTCCTAGTTGCTTGGCTTACACGCGAAGGTTTCAATGACATGGCGGCCGCTGCCTGGGCTCGAGGGGTCGATCTTTGCAGTGCTATTACTGAGTTCGCTAAAGAAGCACAGCGTTAGAATCTTTACACCTTTGCGAATATATTGAGAAAGAGGAACCTCCTACTTGCTCTCATCGAACGACTAGAAATGCGGGTTACTGAGGAGGAGGAGGTGTATCCAGCGATCAGGTCTATGGGGGCACTTAAAGCGCAGGGTAAAGATGGCCTCCAGCCTTTGTTCTACCAACGATGTTGGCACATAGTCTGTCAGGCAGTTGTGGAGTTTGTGCAAGGTTGCTGGAGGGAACCGGAGCGACTCAAGGAAGTTAATGCCACTATTGTAGCTCTGATCCTGAAGATTCCACGACCGACAACTATCGAGCAGTACCGACCGATTAGTCTCTACAACGTGGCTTACAAGGCGATCAAGAATGTTTAGCTGAGAATATGAATCCGCTGATGACCCAGCTGGTGCATGAGACCCAGACGAGTTTCGTCCACGGGCGGCAAATTACTGACAATATTTGTATTTTGCAAGAAGTTGTTCATTCGATGAGAGCTAAGACGGGAAGATTCGGGTGGATGACTCTAAAAATTGACTTGGCCAAAGCATACGATCGTATCCAGTGGATCTTCGTTCGTGATACTCTGGTTGCTGCGAAAGTCCCCCAGGAATTCATCGAGCTAACAATGAGCTGCATCACTACCGCTAGCATGCAGATTCAATGGAATGGTGGGCTAACAGAGGAGTTTAGGCCATCGAGGGGTCTACGCCAAGGCTGCCCTCTTTCCCCGTACATCTTTAAGTTGTGCATGGAGCGTATTGGTAAACTGGTCGAGGCCACAGTAGCAAGAGAAGATTGGAAGCCAATCCTATTATCGCAGAGGGGACCACTGCTGTCACACTTGTTCTTTGCTGATGATCTAATCTTTTTTGGTGTGTCCTCTATGGAGCTGGTTCAAGTGATCTCTCAATGCCTTCGAGAGTTTGGAGCTGCCTCTGGTCAACAAGTTAGCCGGCCGAAATCGCGAGTCTTCTTCTCCCAAAACGTTATAGCGGCGGATGTTGCGAGGTTAAGTGCAACTCTAGACATACCAGAAACAAAGAACTTCGGTCGTTATCTGGGGGTCCCCGTGATCCATGATCCCGTTACCAAGGACACATACACTGAACTCATTGATCGCATCGATGCTAGGCTTGCATCGAATTAAATCGCTATCTCTGGCTGATCAGATTACACTTGCACAATCCGTCTTATCGTCACTTCAAGCATACAAGATGCAGGCGGCATTTATGCAGGCCTTGGTTAGAGAATAGGTTGACAAGAAGATAAGAGGCTTTATCTAGGGAAGCTCAGATCTGGGAAGGAAAATTCACTTGGTGGATTGGGATACGATGTGCAAGCCGAAGGAAGAGGGGGGCTTAGGAGTTTGCGATTCAATGGGAATGAATGAAGCTTTTATGATTAAGATTGAATGGAGACTAGTCTTTAATGGTAGCTTGAATGAGGCCTTTGCTCGTGCGTTCCTCCCTGAGGATATGGTGCAACAACTCTTGCTACACCCAGTCCCGCAAGGCACCGAGCCGGATGTGCCTATTTGGAGGCTCTCCTCTTCGGGGCGGTTTACGATGAAGACCTCTTATGAATTAACGAGAAGGGATGACGATCATCATGAGCACCCCATTTGGAAGATAGCATGGCAGGTTGAAGGGATCCAAAGAACACGAACGTTCTTTGAGTTAGCCATGCATCAGCGCCTCCTCACGAATGTTGAAAGATGCAGACGGCACCTCGCTTTAATGGATGCGTGTCGAATCTGTGGAGGAGGTCCAGAAACGATTCTTCATATTATCAGAGACTGCCCATACGCCAGGGCTGTCTGGTCAGAGTGACTTCTGGGCAAGCCTGATGGAGCGTTTTTTAAACCTGATTTGCAAAAGTGGGTTCTACACGATTTGGCCGGTCATGGCAAGGTAATATCCCCACCATTGTTTGCTACTTTGTGCTGGCAATTATTGAAGAACAATAATTGGTGGGTATTTGAGGAAGAGTTAATACCAGCAGCTCACATGGCTCAAAGGGTGCGCTACTTGACAGCTCAAGTTGATACCAACCTCACTAATATTGGGCAGGTTACAGTAGGGAGATCCGAGCGGGAGACTAGGATGATTGGCTGGCAAGCCCCGACCCAGGGGTGGGCTTGTTTAAACATGGATGGATCAGTGATGCTCAGTCAAGGAAGTGCAGCAGCGAGAGGAGTGCTCCGGAGTGATGAAGGCCGCTTTGTGAGATGTTTTATGGTGAACCTTGGTGGTGGCTCAATAACTCATGCGGAATTAGCTGGCATCGACTATGGCTTAAGACTGGCGTGTTCAGATAGACTCGGCTGCAACCATTGCTTTTCTTCAAGGTGATCAGACTCTTCATCCCCACCATACGCTGGTAAACTCGATCAAGCGACAGCTGAAGCAGCAATGGGAGGTTCATATCATGCATGTGTTCAGGGAAGGCAACTATGTTGCTGATTACTTAGCTTCGGTAGGACATTGTATTCCGGTGGGGATCCATATTGTGGAAATCACTAGCTCTATGCTAAATCACTGGCTGTACTTCGACCTGCTTGGGTTACAAACCCCCGTACTATTAATATCTAAGGGCTGAGCGCCTCTCTGCGCTCGCGTTTTTACCACAAAAAAAACCTAGGTAGGTGATTTTAACGTGTACTATACCACTAGCCATATTTAATTTACATACACAAATTTAATAGCTACCATCACATCACAATTATTCCTATTATACGAATCATATTGAAAAATAACTAACTCATTCATCTATTAATTTAGTCAAGCCATGTGATGATATATTTGCACATGTTTTCCCCTTTCTTTCTTGATTGTTTAAGCTTGCATTATCGCTTCTTTGGCCTATTTTACGCTAGGTTGTGTTCCTTTGTCACATTTTAGGTCCTAGCACATAAAGTGAAGCGTAGGCGCAAGTTTCAAGTCAATCGGAGATCAATTGGCGACTCAGAGGACGAGAAGAAAGAGGACGAGACTACTTTAGTTTGTGACCATATAATCATGTAATCTTGTCATGAGAAGAAAGAGGACGAGACTACGAGCGTCTGGGATCAAACGACACCTGATTTGGAGTCCGAACGAGGGAGAAACGAAGAATCAAAGATAGGGGAAATTTGGTTTCGGGCTTCTCTGAGAAACAGAAGGGGGCCCTATCGTGACCCAAAAATCCCCGGCAGGGGATTTTTGGCCTTGATAGGGGATTTTCCCCTGTCTCCAAAAATCCCCTATCGTGAACCAAAAATCTCCGGTCGTGACCCAAAATCCCCGGTCGTGACCCAAAAATCCCCTATCGTGAACCAAAAAATCCCCCTGTCGTGACCTAAAATACCCTACCGGGTATTTTGACCGGGGATCGCGAACGCAGGCTGTTAAAAGCCTGTTTTGTGCGTTTTTGCAAGGGGAGAGCTGGGTTTTGGATCCCAAACACCCAAGGGACGAACCAAAGAGAGAGAGGGCGATTTGAGGGCATTCTTGGAGTGGAATTGGAGGATTTCTTTGCCTTGGAAGCTCGAGGAACAAGCCCGGACTTGAAGACTGATCATCTGAAGATTCTTACTGCAGTCTCTCTCTTCTCTATGGAGTAACTTCCCTTCACTTAGGTTTTGAGGAACCCTAGCTATGTTTGTTTGATTGGATGATTGTTTGAGTACTCTGACTTGATAATCTTGAGTTCATATTCAATCTATGCATGTTTTCATGATTCAATTCTGCTTTAGTCGAGATTATTGATTCTGCTTTGATCCTATGAGAGGGAATACCTGATTAGGTCAATAGAGCACCATAGATTGATAGTAGTGGATCGATTGCTTTAGTCGAGGGTTGATTCATTGCTTTGTATCGATTGAGAACCTCTTTCGATAGAGGGAGTCTAGTTCAGAACGCCTTGATCAGTTGTTCTAGAGAAGGATACGTCCCTCTAGGCAATTGACTCAAGAGGGCCTTGTTCCTTTAGTCGAGACTCAAGGTCTAGTCAAGGATTCTCCGCATTGTGAATGAAAGTGAAACAAGTTGGAAATCATCAATCGTTAGTCTGGCTAGTGGCTAGGGGGAATCATACCTAAGTGAATTCCCAACCTGTAATTAGATTGACTTTAACTGTAGTTTGCTAGAGTAGTTTTAGTTCTTTCATCTTAATCTGGTTTGCTAAATAATAAACTGAAGCTGAGTAATAGTAACTCTAGAGACCCGTGGATTCGATATTTATCACTTGAGCCACTATACTGCAGTCCCTTCCATTGGTTACACTTGGCCATTGTTAGGTGTTGTGTCGTAGCGAGTCAAGTTTTTGGCGCCGTTGCCGGGGACTTTCTGGAGTATTAGGAAAGGCAGAAGTTTGTTACTTTAGCGTTTTTCTTTTCTTTTCTTTTCCACCCTTGCTTTTCACTTGGGTGTTTTTGTTTTTGTTGGTGCAGATCTGAATCATGGATCCTCATGGCTTCTCCAACAATTGGGGGTATCCACCACCACCCGAGTGGTATTACCCCGAGACTCCTTGGAGCAATCAAGGAGGAGAAGACTATGGATTCGGGTTCGAGTACCAACCCCCTTACTACGGAGAACAACCGGACCCCTGGGCATATCAAGAACAACCTCATTACCAAGAAGAATTTTTCCCACAACCAAAGGGGCCATTGGAGCTGGAGTTACCCATGGTGGCCTTCACGGGCCATTCTGCAGAGCCATGCTACACTCCACAACCAGATCCACTCTATGAATTGAGACTTCTCATGGAGCAGTTTGCTCGAGACTGTGATAGAACATGCTCCAGGATGGATCATTGTGTCCAGGCCTATCGTGAAACAGAGGAGATCCTCCTGAGCCTTAAGAAGAGCGTCGATGATCTTGAGCGATCTTGGGCACAACCTGCTCCAGATCACCCTTCTGCTACCATACAAGAAGAGGAGGAGGAAGAAGAAGGCTACAAGGACATTGTGGAGCACACTGAAGTTGTCACAGAGAGCTCCCGTGATGATCATGATCAGGAGTGTCATGTCGTAGCCGACCACACCTTCCCACACCCCAAACTGAGCTTTGAAGAGGCGGGCATGAGTGAGGAGATGCAAGAAGATCTCATGAAAGAAATTGCTTGGCAACTTGCTCTCCAATCCGTGCTAGAAGAAGAAGAGCAAGAAAGGGTGCAGAAAGAAGTTGTGGAGGATGACGAAAGTGAAGCAGGAGGAGTTCTTGATCATTTCCAAGGGGTGATACCACACGAACAAGGAAGGGAGGTTGAAGAAGCAATTGGCGTCCAGGCTGAGGACGAAGTTGAGGTGGAAGAGGCTTGCACCGGCCATGAGTTACATTTGATATCTCCACCAAACTTCGAGGAACTACTTAGCAAGGATCTATTTGTAGTGTCTCTTTGCCATACCAAGGTCACGTCGACATCGGTCCCTCTTGGTGGACGTGATGGTGGTCAATCGGTGCTGTCATATCTGGTTTGGGGCAATGAGACGAGAGAAGAGAAGAAGAGGTCTCGAGGGTGGAGACTTCATCTACATCAAGTGCACGAGCTTCCATCTACTGTCATACCACATGCTCGTGACTTGAGATTCCACCTCATCGAAGAGAACCTCAACTTCAAAGAGGTTTTGGGGTGGACCGAAACTTAGGAGCCATCGTCCGGCTCACGACGTGAAAGAAGCGCTTGTTGGGAGGCAACCCAACCAGTCGGTTTGCATTTCTTTCTCTATTTCTCTTCGGTTGAGTCAGTTTTGTTATTTGATTTTAGAGTCAATAATTCAACCTTTGTGAGATTTTGTGTGGTGTTTGTGGTCTGGCCATTCTCTCCTCCTGGAATACGCCGCCTGCCCCGTCCACCATCATTCACCCTGGATCTGGTAACTTCGTTCTACCCTCCTTATCTTTCCTCCATTGAGGACAATGTCGTGCTTAAGTGTGGGGGATGTTCAATTATGTATCCGTTTGAATGTTTGACTGTTTGTGTGCTTGGAGCCTAGTCCACTGTCCAAATTTCGATTTGAGGGCTCCAAGTACGTGTTCATTGCAATTGCCTGCTCAGTATGCTTTGAATTGACAGTCTTTATAGTAATATGCAACCTAGGGAGGTAGTGTAGCACTATGGAGGATGTTGATGCATTTAAGAAGTCTCATTTCTTCTTCATATTGTGTTGGTTGATTGAGTGTATTAGTGATCTTAGGACCCTTGAATTGTGTGGTGTTGTGGACTCTCTACCTGTCATGGACTCTTGTATCATGTTTTGAAATAAAAGGTGCTCGATAATGTGCTTTAAAATAACGTCTCCCGTGCGAATAGGACGAAAGTGTGTAAGGGGAGACGGGAATTTGTTCCCAATTTCCACCTACTACCTCCAGCCCTCTTACATTCCATTTCCCCGCACGAGGCTCGAACATTCGCTCCCGGTATGGCCGGTAAGAGCCGGGTTCCCGAAAAACCTTTGCTAGGTGGAAGCCCGTTTTCTGAAAATCGGGTTGGAACCCTTGAAAAAGAAAGAAAAAAAAAAGAGAACAAAAGAAAAGGAAAAAAAGGGGTTCCAACCTTCTTCAAAAAGAAAATAAGAGCACCTTGAAAAATGTGAGTCTATGATCTTTTGTTTTTGAGAGTCTCTTCGTCCACGATTCATTTGTCCTCTGATCACTATTTGCCATGATGCCGACTCGAGACTAGCGTTCTCGCCGAAGAAGCTATGAGATGACTTCTGCGTCGGTTGACCTCGTAAGCTATGAGATGACTTGTAACATCCCAAACCCGGGATATTAATTCAAATCGACTTGGTTCAATAGGCGGAATAATGTTTTTCCCAAATCGAAGACTCAACGCCAAAACGAATGGGACAAACGAAGATTGAAGTGGGGGAAGGGAATAACCGGTCGAACCAGAAAAAAATAACCGGCCGGGTATAATTCTTAAAATACCCGACCGGGTATTTTAGTGGCCCGACCGGGTATTTTAATTAGGTCAGACCGGGTTTATTGTTAGGTAAGACCGGGTTTATTTCCTTAAAATACCCGACCGGGTATTAAGTTAGGTCAGACCGGGTATTTTTAGTGGTCCGACCGGGGATCTTTTTACCTAACAAAGAAGTATTTTTTAAAAAAATACCCGGCCACCCGCCCAAAATACCCAACCGGGTATTTAGACCGGGTTTTCTGACCGGCAGCCTATAAAAGGGGGAAGAATTCCAACTCTTTCATACACACCATAAATCGTATAAACCGAGTTGAGAGAGAGAGAGGGCAGTTTCTAGAGAGAGAGGGAGTGACGGGCAAGAGCGACGAAGTGCTCGGGATTGGTCTTCAACAGCTGTGCAGAGTCGAGATTTCGGCATAAATAAGGTGTGTGGACCCTGCGGTGAATAGGCGGTGTTTTACTACGTGCTATATGTTTAATATTGAAACATAGCTGAGGATTTAACGAAGATAAAATGGAGAATGTTGTTATTATGATTTGAGTACTCGAGTGGAATTGGATGATTCATAATCGAGTATTTGGATTTACGATTTTGTAATTGATCCCTACGAATCGTGAAATTCCTTGAGACTTCGTTGTAATTATTTCAATAATTCATGACGTGATATCAGGCCATGAGTTATGTGAAACTACGCCGGCGATTGAATAATTATCCTAATACGATTACTTGGGATAATGGTTAAAACCCAATCGGATTCGTGATAATTTGAATAATGGACAGCTACCATGGGAGAATTCTGTCTAGGCTAGTGGTTTTTAATCGAGACCTTCGTGGTACTCGTCCACTTACCTGGGAATTCACCCGGTGAAATCTTTTGGGAATATGGTTGTAAGAAGTGCGCTATGAGTAGTGGCACTCATTCCTTTTCTCGGAGTTTTTACCACGGCGGGTCCGTCTTTCAAATTACTTGGTGATTTTCACCGATTAATGGTTAACGAACCATGTACGAGGTTTCAAACCTTCCACCTTATACGTGGATTGTGCGATAACGATATTGTTTGCGAATGATTTTCTACTCGATAATTGAATGGATGATTTGATGATTTCGGTATGCATGATAGACTTGGTAATTACACCAAGACCGATTGAGATGGATGATTATGATATTGAGATTATGATGAGGATGATGATTTTATATGATGATCATATTAATCACGTAGACTTAGAAAGGGCCTATGACCTACCCCTATGAGATTGATTGGGCTGCGGTCCTAATGAGAGGATTTATGATAATCCTTGATTTGATATGATTGTGGTTTCTGATATAACCACTGAGATGATGAGGCTCGAGCGGGGTGGGCGTATGGTGACCTTGGCGCCCAAATTAATAAAATGGAAATGCATTACACTTGCATATTGTTTGGATATTGGATGCTAGGTTGAGAGTTATATTAGGTTGAGACTTCAACCTAGATGCCATGAATAGGTGGTTAATCGATTGATGTGGAAAAGTATCCATAGACTTCGCCGTGTAGGAGGGAACAGCGCCACACACTCGGCTTAGTAGCTGACCCACTCCCCTTTTGTGTTCAGATCCGCAGCAGAGGAACTGAGCTTGGACGTTGGAGCTGTGCAACTGCTACACCATCATGAGGTAGCGGACGATTGGTCGGAGGAGAATTTTAACTATGTTTTGGGTTTTAAACCAAGTGTCATAAATATGTATTATGTTGGATTTGAGTGTATCGAACTTGATCGATAGAGTGATTATGATTTATGGATTGTACCAAAGTATGTAAGATAGAGGTTTGAGTTTCAACAAACGAGTGTTTGGATTTGATGTCATGAGTTGGATGTTTAATAAACGAGATTGGATATTAACAAATGTGATAGATTTGAAATATATATGGGCTCACCTAGAGTTATGTTTAGCAAATAAAGGTTGCATATGTGTTGAATGATGAGTTAATAAGTAAACCCCGTTAGTATTTTCCGCTGCGCGGTTGAACCATTGGTTCGATCCATGAGTTTTAGGGTGGGGTGTTACAGCTGGTATCAGAGCCTGGTTAGCCTTCTGCATTATAGGTATGTTACTTCCACCCCTGAGGATTAGCTACCCTTAGCAAGGGAGAAGTACTCCATACCCGTACTTGCACTAGCCTAGCTGGGGACTGAAACTAAAACATGATGATGTGTGCATAGTCTGAGTCAGTTACATCGTTTTGAAAAGATATTTAAATATTTTTTTAAAAAACAAGATGAGAAAGAGTTCCTACGATTTTATTTAAACCTACTTTTTTAAAACGAGAACTAAAAATTGATTTTTCCTCCTCCATAGTGACCAATCGGAGCAGAACAGCTACACACCTCCAGCTGGGACTACACAAGGATCGGGAGTAACGATGGAAGTATTGTGGAAAAACCGTCTACGTGAATTCAAAGGGGAGTCGACGGATCCCCAAGAAACTGTTGACTGGCTTAGAGAGACGGACGTACAATTTGATTACCTTCGTTACAACGAGAGGCAGAGACTGGAGGCATTGATAATGCTTTTAAAAGGACATGCGCTGCGTTGGTGGAAATCTCAAAAGGCTGGAGTAACCTTTCCACCAACCATCTCATACCAGGAGTTCATGGCCTCATTCAAAAATGCCTTCTTTCCTCGACAATGGCTAAACCAGAAAAGGCGAGAGTTTGACAACCTGAAGCAAGGAGATAGCACCGTCATGACTTACTACTTGCGATTCTTTGAACTCTCTGAATGGTTCGATATCGAGGAAGATCGGGAGAGGAGGCTAGCTGAACAATTTCTGGATGGTCTTCGGCCAAACATTAAGGCGGGAGTATCATCGGGAGACATGACTGACCTAACCAGTATCAAACAGGCTGCACTAAGGAGAGAATGCATAGAGGATGAAAAGAAGCAGGCATGGAAAGAGAAGGGCGAAAGAGGAAGGCACACACCCAGCCTTCACAATCAGCTGGAAATAACATGGTTCGAAGGTTAAACCAAACCTACAGCGGACAAAGCATTGCACGTTCAACTACACGTGCCAACACTGGACCTGCCGGATACCCGCCTTGCCAAAATTGCGGGAGGATGCACATGGGGGCATGCAGAATGGCGTCCCAATCTATGGGTATTGTATGCTACACTTGTGGTCAACCTGGACACAAGAGTTATCAATGTCCTTCCCGTCGTGCTGCACCTACGCAGTCAGTAGGATCTGTGCAAGGACCAAGAGCTCCGTCTAGGAGCGGGACAGGAAGAGGAAATCAAGGTGGCAACAACAACTTTAGAGGGACTGGAGCAAATGCTTATCCGCTGGGAAATCAAGGGTCCAAAACAGGAAGACAAGGAGCGGGAACACAATCACAGGGCAGAGTTTTTGCTCTTACTCGTGGTGCTGCTGAGACCGCTCCAGATGTGGTCACCGGTACGATCTCTTTTATGGGCCAGAATTTATATGCATTATTCGATATTGGATCTTCGCACTCCTTCATATCGGAGAAGTGTGCATCAAAATTTCCTATTATGCCGGGAAATTTGAGTACCAGTCTAGGTGTACGAACACCTCTAGGTACTTCAGTAAGGGTAGATCGAATTCTGCCTAATTGTGGTATTAAGATAGGAGAAGTAAAGTTGAAGGCAGAATTAATTATCCTGCCTTTCAACGAATTTGATGTCATACTTGGCATGGACTTGTTATCTCGACACA